CCGCAGGACCGAACCGTTCCGGTGAATCCTTTTTATATCGCCGCACGTTTTCGACGCAATTCCATCAACCAGAACGCAATTCCATCAACCAAAAATCCAAACACATATCCCACTATCAAAAAACATCGTTTCGCAAACGCTCGCGGTGGCACGCGCATCTGAGCTGCGCGCAGGACGCCCAATAATCCGCGACGCGGGAAGCCAAACAAAGCGCGACACTGAAAGGCGGAAATCATGTGGCACGGAAAGACGAACAAAGTGTGATGCGACAAGACGTTCACCTCTGAGTAGTGCGTGGGGGGGGGGGGGCGGTCTGCGAGAAATTTCTACACAGATGCTGCTCTGCTGCCTTCTTGCCAGCGGCTGTCCGGGCGACTGCACTGGCGCGTCGACGGGAAACAACTCGGGAGAAACGTAACAACCCCAAGATACGTGCATTCAGCTGCCACCTCGGCTCAAGCTTGGCACCGAGGCAGCGATCCGACGCTTCAGGATCCCCTCGCGTCTTCCCTACCATAGCCCCCACCCCGCCTCCGATGTCTGGGCACGGGTCCTGGTGGGGGCCAATTCCAGGAGTGGCCCTGGAATGCGGTGTGCCGCCCTCGTGTGCGACCTCCGCATCCTGGCGGCGCCGAGCGCGCATCTGGCGTACGCATATGCCCGTCATGCGCAGGACGCCAGCATCACCATCTTCGCGGAGCTGATGCGCTACCACACCTCGCAGTCCACAGAGACGACGACCAGTCTGAAGGGGTCGGCGGAGTCCAACGACACCGAGAAGCTCGAAGAGCAGGCCAAGCCCAAGGGCGTCAAGACCCCTCTCCTGAGCGCCGGGGCTTACGACGACGACCGCCCCGTTGAGGTCCCCGACGACTGGCTTGGCAATCCTCTGGGCGGATCTTGTCCTCCTGGAGATCGCGTGGACCAACACCTTCATGGCGAAGCTGATCGTGCGCACCCTCACGACGGAGATGACGATCTTCCTGGGCCTCGTAGTCGTCTCCTGCCTGATGATGTGCCAGCTCCCCCTGGAAATCGCGTGGATCTACCTGGCTGGCTGATCTTCATGGAAGATGATCGGGCTCTTTTTGTGGATCGTCTTTCTGGTGAAGCTGCTGATGCTTACCCTCGCGATGGAGAGGATGACATCCCTGGGCCTCGCAATGTCCTACCTGACGATGTGCCTGGCTCCCCTGGAAATCGCGTGGACCTACCTGGACCAGATGTGGCCACTCCTATGGATCGTTATCTAGAGGACAGCTCTCACGATGATTCGTTCGAAGCCAGCCTCCTAATCGATGTAGCGTACGACCCGGACAAGTTCTCCAGCAGATTGGGCTGTGGCTGCCCAGTGGGCGAACTCAGGGAACAAATTGGCAGCAGTTCCGCGACTGACTCTATCCAGGAGGCATGCGAGGCCTGGGAGGCACTCGGAGCCGTCTCCTGCACTGAAGGTAGATATTGGCTCAGCACTAGCTAGTCGCCTGCTCTCTCTCCTGCCGCAGTTGAAGTGTAAATATCATTCTTGTTCGGCCGAAGCCTTTTCGGAACCCCGCGGGCGAACGTGCTGCCCCCCCCCCCTCCTTCTTCTCCTCTGTTCTTTTTTTTCGCACTCGTTTCAACGGCCCCCCGAATTCCACCATACGTCGGTGGTCGTGGGCCTCAGGCCGGGACGCTTGCGCGTCCGTCGGCTTCGGGGCCTCCACGAGGGGTGGGGGCTCTCGGACCGCGGACATCGTGCCGCATTGTATGATATTTACGTGTTGCTGTTGTACATATATACAAATATATGTGTAGATATATATACAGACGTATATATATATATACGTGTATAAATATAATTGTTTACAGAGCTGTGCTAATTTAGATATCGGCGCTGACGGTGTGAAAAGAAAAAAGATACGTGTCTTCGTCGGTCGATGCATTCCGCTGGCGCAATTCTCAAGGGGGGCCCAAGGACACACGCATGAATACACACAAATAAAATGATTCCCCATGCTTTCCCATATTTTCTGGGGTCTTCTCTTCCCGCCCAATTAACAACTTTCCAACATTTTCCTGGGAATCGACGCTTACTTGTGTCTGTGCTTTTCTCTCCTGGAACAGGATCGTTGCAATTGAATCCAAGCCGTGACGAATATGACGACTGCAGTGCTGCGGCCACCAGGGGCCTTCGGTGGAGCCCCCTATGGGGCCACGAAACGCTGTGCTGGGGGTGGGGGGCGCATGCGGGCACCCCCACTGGGGCCTTCGGTGGACCCCCCTATGGGGCCATGAAGCGCTGTCCTGGGCGTGGGGGACGCATGCGGGAACCCCCACTGGGGACTTCGGTGGAGCTACCTATGGGGCTACGAAACGCTGTGCTGGGCGTGGGGGGCGCATGCGGGCACCCCCACTGGGGCCTTCGGTGGAGCCCCCAATGGGGCCGCGAAGCGCAGTCCTGGGCGTGGGGGGCGCATGCGGGCACCCCCACTGGGGCCTTCGGTGGATCTCCCTATTGGGTCGCGAAGCGCAGTCCTGGGCGTGGGGGGCGCACGCGGGCACCCCCACAGGGGCCTTCGGTGGAACTCCCTATGGGGCCATGAAGCGCTGTCCTGGGCGCGTGGGGGACGCATGCGGGCACCCCCACTGGGGCCTTCGGTGGAGCTCCCTATGGGGCCACGAAACGCTGCGCGGGGCATGGGGGGCGCATGCGGGCACCCCCGCGGGCATTTTCGGTGGAGCTCCCTATGAGCTACGAAACGTGCGAGGGGTGCGCCGGCGATGAGGGGGAGGAGGGAGGAGGGGGAGGCAGAAGCGGGAGGAGGAAGGAACGCGGGGCGCTGTCTCTTCAAAACAAAGACCCAACGCCACAGGATGGTTGGGACAAACATATGGACCTGAAGTCCGATAAACGGTCTGCCCGTCGTGATCGGCGATGGCGCAGCTAGTGGAGGCCAAAGAACTGACACCAAACCATGTCGCGTGTCAACGTGGACAGGCGTCGCGCGGAGCGTCGCTTGCATCGAGCGGGACAACTCGGGCGCCGCCGAAGCCTGCTTGACGTCTGCGTCCTCGCTCGTCTGGCTCGCTCGCGCAACCCCTGGCCCAGCGCGCTTTCAGCGATTCGTCAGATTACGCATGGTCCAACTCTTCGGTCGAGCATGTCGCGCCCGCATCCCTCGACGCTGTCCCTCGCCGGAGGCCTTGGACTTGCCTTTTTTCGAGGAAGCTGCTTGAAGCAGCCTCGCCCGGGCTTTAGTTTGTGCAAATGATGGAGCATCTGGCTGCGATCGGCGTAGACGGCGGCCACCTCAGCTTCGTCCAAACTCACCCTCGGGCGTGTCTCCAGCTACGAAGATTACCTCTTCGCCGTCCATGTCCTTGAGAGTCCAATTCAAGACGTCGTCTTCTTCGTAGGCCCTGGCAAGCACAGACTGCTGCATGATAGCCCAGTGAGCACGCTCATGATATTATTCCTGTTCAACATGCCCTCCTTCATTTACGCGCCTCCTTCATTTCCTTGATAGCCGACGAGATGCGAGGCATAACGCACTCCGTGAATGCGATGGCCACTTCTTCCTGAGGGTAGTGAGCGTTCAAGCTTACGGAGCTTCTCAAACACCACTTTAAACACATATGATCACCCAGTATGGTGCTCAACCGTGTCACTGGCGGCTTCGTTTAACCATGACTCTCTGAAAAGCAGGTGCCTTCTTCAACTCATATGGTAAGATAGCGTGCTTCTCGAATGCCCGGAGAAACATTTGCTTGCGAACGACATACTCGACAAGAGACTCATCACTTTTGCGCTTGGCACCGTCAGAATAGGAAAACTTTTCAAATGCCTTCGGCATCCTGTGGTCTCGGTATTCGGCGACAGCCTGCTTGATATGTTTGACCAGTCTGCCCGCTGCTCCCCGCGGAAAGCTGCTCCTCAGTGGGTTCATTGATGATTATTTGGCGTCGTCCCTCGCATAGCGGAAAATCAGGTGCCCACGTCGTCTTTTTCAACTCTCTGGTAATTCCCTCGTGTAAGGATTCTTTGTGGTATCAAGATCGATCCCGGTGGAAAGTCAGACGTTTGGTATATTTGGAGCCCCTGGTTGTTCAAACAATTCTCTCCTCTGTCGATCAGAAAATCGGGCAGTGGCGTAACCCCAGGAACTCGGAACGAAAGGCGTAGCCTGTCCCCGCAAAAGGCGTGTTCACCGAGCTGGTGCACCGGGCGAGCCACAGCCCCGCGGGTTCCGACCTGATCAGGAGGAATCAGTGTTGGGCTGTGTATATGTTTCCTGCTGTGCGGAACAGCGGGCCCACTCGTCATCTGACCAGCCCGCTTTGTCATCACCGTCCCAAAGAACGCGTCCTCGTACCCCGCCTCCTGGCGATGGACCTGTTTCTGTTGCAACCAAGGGTCATCCGGAACTTCGTCTTGTGAAGGCCAAGCGTCGGCTTGACTGTCCATGACGGCGGTCGGCGCAAGAGGGTGGGAGGCAAGAGAAGCGGGAAAATCAGATGTCACCCGAGAGCTGGGTGGCGGGAGAGTCGGCCTGACTCCCATCGTGGGTCGGAACCACGCGGTCCGCTGCCAGTGGAATGTACCGGAGTAGCTGTGTGGAATACAGAGGGACACGTATAGGGGCACCCGTGCTCAGAGAGAAGGCGCGTTTTCTTTTCTTGTACGGGAGTTTGCGCGCGCCCGCGGCCAGCGCGCTAAGTCGCTCAAGGGCACTGCGAGCCAGAGCAGCGGCAGGGCAAAGGAGGTGGTGGGAGCGAGGCGCAGGAGAAGGAGAGGCAAACAGATGCATAGCAACCAAACACACCGCATCTGCACGGCAATGGGACCCGTCACTAATTCACGAGATTAGCTCCATGTTCTCGCTTCCTCGATGCATCCCTCCTCCTCCTCCTCCTCCTCCTCCTCCTCCTCCTCGGTCCTGCTGTTCCTCCTCCTCCTCCTCCTCCTCCTCCTCCTCCTCCTCCTCCTCGGTCCTCCCCCCCCCCTCCTCGGAGACCACCTGCGGGCGCGCGGCGTGCTGTTCGAGTCCAGCCCCGGCGCGGCCCCGGGCACCCGCGGAGCCCATGGCCGGAGAGCCGCGGACGCCGGGCGGTCGACGGATGCTCCCAGCTCGACCCTCCGGGTCGCTGCGCAGCGTCCTCAACACCCCCATTGTGTTTGTTCTTCGCTATCCAGTCGGGGCGTTGACCTTAGGAACCCTAAATAAGGAAAGAGGCCCCTTTTTCCAGAAGTTAACCTTCGACTTCCGCTCGAAGACCTAAGGAAAGCCTGAGGCAAGCTGTGAAACACTTAAGGAACGCGGAGCCCCTCCCAAACGAAAAGGGTTCCTTCTTCAGGGCCCCGACTGTACACCCAATCTGCTTTCTACACTTATGTTGTTCCCATCCTACTTAAGGGTCGCATCCCAGAAATTCGCCGGCCCAACGGGCCAGAGGCGTGCTACGATCTCCGGTAACTACTTAACAATATTTCTAGTTCGCGCGCGCGGGGCGGCCCCTGGGGGGCCCCGGACGAAAAAGACCCCAGCCGATCCCCGGCTGACCCCCGGGCGATCCCCAGGGGGGAGGCTATTTTTCGCCACCACTCACGAAGATCGTGGCCTCCGAGGGGGGGGCTGCCAACAACTACCCCCCCTCCCGCCCCGAGGGGCCCCCAAGAGCCCCCCAAGAGGCCCCAGAGGAGCCCAATACGCCGCCAAGGAGCCCCAAGACGCTCTCAAGAAGCCCCCAAGAAGCCCCCAAGACGGCCCCAAGAGGCCCCAAATAGCGCTCCAGGCCCCAAATAGCGCTCCAGGGCCGAGCACCCAGAAAAATGTCAAAAGAGTGCCAAGAAAGTATCGAAACAAGGTCGAAACAGTGTCGGGCGAGGGCTCCCAGTTCGACCCTCCGGGTCGCTGCGCATCGTCCTCAACACCCCCACTGTTAGGAGGCAACTTCTGGGAGGTTTTCGTCGGAAGGATTGAGGGGGATTAAGCCCCATTGGGGGGCTGTTGCGCCGGAGTGGGCCTCGGACTAAGCAGGATCAAGCCGGATTAATCGGGATTTCACGGGATTAAGCTGGATGAGGCGGGATTAAGCCGGATTCAGCCGGATTTCGGACCAGGGCGAAAACAGAATTTGACCTCCCAGGAGTTGCACCCGAACCATTACGTTTGTTCTTCGCTATACACCCAATCTGCTTTCTACACTTTATGCGCTTCGGCGTATTAGCGGCCCCTGCATTGTTTTAGATATACGTGCGCACTCTCTGCATTCGCTGTGCTGCGTAAGCTGTCGTGTACTCTCAACGATCACTGCACCCTTGCCAGTTGCCACGCTCTCTCCAGTCACACACCTTTCTTCACGTTGAAAAGCCCAACGCGCTGGTTACACTTTGTCGAAACAGCGGACATCCCCATGAATGCCATACAGAATCAAACGGGGACCCAGGAACCTGGGCCGCCTGCTGAGATCGGCGAACCAACTCCAAATCCTTACGCAGTTAGTCCCTTCAGTGGAAGCACATTTTGGCGGAATCCATGAGGCAACGATCGTGACATAAACGCATGGCTTCCCTTGAGTCTATCGAAAAGAAGCAACTGGCACGAGTCAGAGCGAACACCGGCTTCCAAGCGAGAATTCCACTCGGTGACAAAATCATTGGAGCACGTGCGCGAGAACGAAGTTCAACTATGCTGGAGACGAATGCCGTCCGCCACGCTTCAACATGTGGCAAAGTACTGTCAAGAAAAAAGAAAGGTTAGCCATCGTGAAAAAGGGTGAGTGATTGCACTGTGGAGGTGGCAGCAGCGCGGTGTAGAATATGTGGTGCAAGCTATGTCGTGTAAACTATGTGGTGTGAGCAATGGGGGTGAAAGCCATGCGGTGTCAGACATCGTGTGTAATAGATGTTGTGTGAGCTATGTGGTGTGAGCTGGAGGTGAAAGATATGCGGTTTAAGCTCTGTTGTGCAAGTTCTGTTGTGTAAGATATGCGGTTCAAGCTAGGTGGTGCAAACTAGGTCGTGTAAGTAATGTGGTGTAAGCTCAATGCCCTGGGGGGCAACGTGGCGCAAACCACCCCAGAAGCACAAGGCGCCAACGAACGCCCAGGAGGAGGCACAGTAAGGTGGCGCAACCTCGGCAATGCTCCCAAGCGCCCGGGGCGCCCACGAGCGCCTACGAGGCCAATGAAAGAAACCCACGTAAGAACCCTTAGGCGAAAACGCTGTGTAGGGAGGACGCATGTACTGGCTCGTAACATTACTGATTCTGTGCTTCCTTATTCGAAACAAACAAAACACTTGGCACTCCAATGGGACGTGAACAAAACGGAATCGGCAGAAGGTGAAGCGTGAAGATGAATGCAACCAAACAGTCCTTTACCATCCGCGATCAGATGTTCGAGAGACAGGTGCGCCGAACGAGTCTGTGAAAGGTCCCGCCCCAACTACTCAAACATAGGCACTGCATGCATCGCTGGCGCCAAATCTGGCAATGCTCCAAACGGCTGCTCCTTGTCTCTCACGTCGCTGCGCCGACCACTTCTAGGCCGCATCAACAGCTTGACACCACAAACGGCCCACATCGCAAAACGGCACGCCACACACGCCAATGTCTACACGGAACATGCAAACGAGGAAGAGGACGACGACGCGTGGGGAGGAGGGGAACGGGGAGCAGTGCCAAGCAGGAGGGGGAGACGAGCGGCATGCACGAGGGACGAAGAGACAAGGAAAGGAGGGGTGGAAATATGACAACGATTGCGATGATAGGACTTCTGATTGCACGTGTGCGAGGCGGGGATTCATCCATACCCACCACCTGAGAACCGACGTCCTGGTGCCCCAACGGGCGGTGGATAAGGATACATTTCGGCCCCCGGGCGCCCGAATCTGTCAATATCCTCCGCCTGCCGAGGCTCCGACAACTGACCCTCCAGGCGGTGGATATGGATAGATTCCCGCCTCGGAACATTGTCGGGCAGAGGACTCAGGGGTCATGATCCTTGGCCGTGGAGTCACGCAATTCGGATGTGGAAAGCAAACGTCGTCGGCAACATTGAACCGCTTGTCGATGCTGGATGACGCGGGAAGTCCATGCGGACGACCCTCATGAACAACATACTTTGGGACCTCAAATGCCGTCGGGTTCAGCATGTTCTTTCGCGCAGCCGGTTGTCCTCAACTTGACGCCATGAAGCCACATCGATAGCGTGGTGTTAAGCTTTCTGAACGGTGCTCGTCCGTCAGCTCTGAAAGTCATGCCCGTTTCCTTGGAACGGTTCCATTGCCTTGCGATGTCATCACCAACGTCATCCGAAAACCCTTCGAACTTCGTACGCTGGATTCCGTGGATGACCTCTCACTCATGTCATGCGCAAGTCCGTCGTCGAGGTTTCGACAATTGGCCCGAGTTTCAACTGGAAGTGAAGGGCAAAGCGTCGGCCTCATCCCTGGCTGGTCGGATGAGAAACCAGCGGATTTCCTGAGTCGTTGTGGACGACCCCTCCGAACACATGATGATGCTGCCCTCGTCAGTCGCATCTTGAATGCGCCCCGTGGGCTTGTCGAAAGAGATGCTCAGATGGCATGTGGCTGTACTCTGGGATCCCTGTGCCACGCCTGACTGGTAGACAACGTCTGCGCTGGCGCGCAGTATTGACATCCATGTTCTGGTTGCTCATGGTCTCTTCGATCCAAGGCCAGCCACCGTCGTCATCAGAATTGATCGCCCACGTCGCTCCCACGCACATTAACCCCAATGCGCCATGACAATGCGATCCCTTTTTCGCGTCGGCCTCCACTGCTAAAGCTCTGGCGTAACTCGCAAACCTTGGCGTCTTTAGCAATCCCTTTATATTCAACTGGTCGGTTGCCCGACAGGCTGCCATCACCGCGCTTGACAAACCAAACTTGGCCAATCCTCGTATGCTTGCAATCGTTCCGTCTCGCACCTTCAAACTCTGGTAGAATCACGGTACAACGGAAATGTTTGTTAAGCGGGAAAAAATTGAAACCCCTGAACTGGCTCGAGCAGCCGGGGGTCTCGGAATCGATGTGAGTGCAATGGTAGCTGCTCGTTGTGGCTGAACGTCTTTGCCAAATGTGTTCCTTCAGTGGACCTGAGAATCGTGGCATGATGCCCATTACCCTGACGTCGCACAGTCGACACGAGTAGTGTCCACTTAGCTGCACAATCGCGCAATTAAGCTCGCCTTGTTGTTACTCTGCCATCGTACATCGGTTGCTCTGATTCCACACCACGTACTCCCAGTACGTCCCTTAAACCCCTTTCAAACTTAAGGTTTCCAAAAACGAATTAATGTACAACTTCGCTGGACGGAATCATGCAGTCAGGCCGAAACCGGCACCTGAGAAACCAACAAATTCGTTAAATAAATGGGTGTTGTTCGTATTTGTTGGGACATGCTCAGTGACAAGTTTGGCTGTTCGAATGGCCAATGGCAACCATTGACTCAACTCTACAATTTGCTATCGCATCTTGGGCGAGCTTGAAACGAATGCCACCTGGGCGTGAGGCAACACCACTTGATTATGAATGCCGGCATTGAATGCTCTGTCGTTTCCCTGACTGCGTTGGTCTCGATTTTCGAAACTGAATCATAGTATGTGATTTGATTCCAGTGGAGGCTGAAGTGGTCCTTCCAAAGGTTTACGTGATGGCTGCTGATGTCGCTGTTGGTGACGTGTGTAACATGTAGCGTCGAACTGATTGCGCCTGGTGGTCTTGAGATGCTGCACTTTTTACCATGTGTTCAGAATACGTACCGCCAAGCCTCAGTATTGGCATGTCTAGTGTCATCCTGAGTCTCCTTGATTCCACATGCACAAAAGACATGAAACATTCTAGTACGTCCCCAGGACGAAAGTTTCTCTTGGGCCCGGAACGGCGGTTTGAAATCTTGGGCAAACGCGCGTGGGACCCATGCCGTGGGATCCAACGAAGTTCGTGCGGATCGAATGTTGGCTTGGGTTTCTGTTTCGGTGGATCCGATGTCCGTCCGCGCGGATCCGATCTCGAATGTTCTGGATCCGCGTCCAATCATATGTTTTACGGCGGATCCGATTTCTGCCCCGTCTAAAGTTATAGTATCATATTTCCATGGGGACGCGGAACAAATCGGATCCGCGGACCCCGGAACCCGGCCCTGTTAAGATTATATAGGGGAGAAGAGGGTTTGGGTCAGCAACTTCCCATGATGGGTCCCGTGCTCTCCCGCGCACTCCCGTCCACTTTCCGCGAGCGCGGGTCCCACTCAGCATGGATACGTCTCTCTCCGCCCGGTTGCTGCACGCAGCTCGTCCAGACGCCGTCCGTGCAGCGGCGCCGCTGTTATCTCGAGAACTCCTCATCGGCATTTCACCTTAAGGGGAAAATATTTCGTCCTGCGTAAGGGCAATATGGGCTGCACGTCTCGGGGCAAAGTGCTGGCGCTGACGGCGTCGCTGACGACGCCGACGACGCTGACGACGACGACGAACAAACGACGAAAACGACGACGACGACACCTTCAACGACAGCGTCAATGCTGGCGGAGGCTATGAACGGCGGCGGGGCAGGCGATGCCGGGCAGGACCTCTATAGCGTTAAGTCGGGCCTGTCCCCCTACAAGGGGCTTTTCGATAATACCCCTAAAATAATCGAAAAAATCTACAAATATGTAGTAGGGGTCTTTGTTTGGAGTATGTTTTGACCTTTCTGGAATATGTTTCGGGTATGTTACATTTTTCCTCGAAAATCCCCCTGTAGGGGGACACGCCCGACAGAACTATAGCGGGCGGGCCTCAAGCGAGTGGGTGGGGGGAACATCGGACGAAAGCTGCAGCCGTTGACGCGGCGACAGTCGGGGACAAGGCACAGCACACATCGAGCGCAAACGGTCACGACGACGACGGGCGGGACGTGCGGGCAGGGGTGGGGGCGGCACTGAGTGGAAACCCCACTGGTTGCGGAGAGACCTCCTCCGTCGCCTCCTCGTCCGCCGATGCTTCCGCACGCGTGACACGCTGGCAGGTGTTCGCTGGCGGTGTGCGACCGCACGGCGTCGTCGTCAGCGTCGTCGTCGTAGTCGTCGTCGTCGTTTGCTGGCGCGCTGGGGGGTGGGTCCGACCTCCCCCCGCCTTGCTTTTCTGCTGCTGTCTCGTCTTGGTTGGGGGGGAGGGAGGTGGTATCGAGAACGCTGGGGTTGTTTTGGCAGGTCATGGTCAGCATCCCCCCCACACCCCCTCAAGCACCCACACGCTCCTTCAAACCTGGGGTGCCTTCATCAACTGCCTACCAAACCACACCCAACCAAACCCGAAGACCCGAATTTCCGGTTAGGGGGGGGTATGGGTTCCATCTGTGTGTTTTCAATGTTCCCCGACGCCCCCCCCCACTGGGAATGGCGTGCAAATTGGGGCCTTCGGGTCGGGTTGGGGTGGTTTCGTGGGTGGTGATTCCACTGAAACAAGAATCAAATGGAGGAGGGGGTGACAACATCGCGGTGGCGGCTCTCCTCAGCTCCGCTGTGCTGAGCAAGCGCGGGGACCGACACAGACGACAGAAATCATGCCAATACCTATACAAACAGCACGCTTCCAATGAAAAAGGCGCTGCATATCCTGACGAGCGGCGTGCGCTCGGCAAGACCGGGGGCCGGCCCCCCCCCCCCGAATCTGTGCGTGCCCGCCCTCTGCCACGCCTCCCCTCCCCCTACCGCCCCTCACCCCTTTCACGCCCTCCTCTCGGGTCGGGCGGAAGGGGGGGATAGCAAAGGGGGGGCTCGAGAATCAGCCCACGTGGCTGATTTTCCCGGCGCCTCCGGGCGCCGGATGCGGCCATGCATCGAGGAATGGGCCCCTCGGTGGGGCCGAAACCAGCTGCGTGCAGCAAGTTTCGTAACCCCCCCCCTTTCCCAATCCCCCCCTTTCGCCCGGCCCGATCCTCCCTTCACGCCCCCCCTTCTCTCGCTCCCCCCACTCCTCCCCAACCCTCTCCCCACCTCTCCCCTCCTCCCCTCCCCACCTCCCCACCTCTCCCCACCTCCCTCCCCACCTCTCCCCTCCCCCAACCGTCCCTTCCCGTCTTTCACGCCCTCCTCCCTTCACGCCCCCCCTTCTCTCGCTCCCCCCACTCCTCCCCCAATGCCCCCCCCCTGTCTCGACCTCTCCCTCCTCGCTCCTCCCGCCTCTCCCCCGCTGCTCCGCCGCAGCCTTCTCCGCCTCCTCCCGCCGCTCCTCCCTCCTCGGCCTCCCTCCACTCACATTGCCTGCCTCGCACCTCCCCCTTCCTGCTGTCCCGCCGCCTCGCCCCCCCCCCCCCTCTCCCCTCTCCTAAAACGACGCGAAGATCGGGACAAAATCGGATCGGGATAACTCGAAATCTCTGAGTATCGGCGGGTTTGGAGGATGTATTGGGCGCCGCGGCCGCTCCAGAGCGTTCGGGAACGCTCTGAGAGCGCTCCGGAACGCTCTGGAGCGATTTATCCCGATCCTATCCCTGTTTTATCTCCCCTCAACAACTGCCCCCATCCGTCACCAGTCTTCCCCCACTGCGTGCACCCTTCCTTTACCTCATCCGATGCCCACTATTCCATCGATCCTCTCTTCTCAAGCCCCTCTCTTTCTCCACCCCCCTCAGGCCATTATTCCACGGATGCCTTGCCCCTCCCCTGGCTCCTCCCCCTGCCTTGCTGTCCGCTCCCAACCGCACAATGCCCCTCCTCCACTCCCTCAACCCTCTCCCCCTCTCCCTCACTCCGGCCATCCTCATTCCCCGTCCGTCATCTTCCGTCCCCTCCCTATCTCCCCTCCCGCTGCCCCCCTTCCGTCCCTCCGCGCCGCTCCCTTCCTTCATCTCCCGCCTGCCCACCCTCCCCCACCACTCCCCCTTCCGATCCCTCCCTCCACTTCCCCCTCGAAACATACTGCGATACGTCGCGCAGGCTGCCTGTGCTTTTCATCTCGCGCGCGCGCTGCGTAACTCCGCGAAACAATTGTCGATGAGGTGTGAGGAGAACACACCGCATAGGAGGGAGGGAGGGAGGCGAAAGGAAGGAAGGACAAAGGAGGAAACGATGAACGAGGAGCAGACCCTGCCGCTGCGCTCGAGCAACACGCGATGTCATGCCTGTCAGGCATCCTGCCGCGCAGAGCCACTTGCACACACAAACACACAAACAGAAACAAAAGCGCACACACACACACACACACACACACACACACACACACACACACACACACACACGCACACGCACACGCACACGCACACGCACACGCACACGCACACGC